CTGCTCCATGTCACCTCACTTTGAGGCCCAGGATGATGGATTAGCCATCATCTCAAATTTTCCTGGTTACCACGGCAGGTGGAAAGAGAGCTCTGGGAGGTCTCATGTCGGTATGAAAATGGCCTAGTCTAGAAGTGACACAAGTCACTTCTGCTCACGACTCTTTGGCCAGAACTAGTAACATGGCCCCAGCTAACCCTTAGGGTGTTGGTTCTTGAGTGCTGAACCTCCCTGCAGGAAGAAGGAAGGATGCTACAGCAGGAAGGGGTGCTGCTTCTATCAGCAAGGCAAAGCTTTCCCAGAAACCCTCAGATTCTCTCTCCGCAGCCGGAACTGGGCCCTACGGTCACTCTTAGCAACAAGGAAATCACAGATGTATATACTTTAGCCAGACGTGCTGCAGCCCCCAACAAAATTGGGTCCTGTTTATAAATTAGGGGAAATGGATATTGGGTAGGCACCTAGAAGTGACTGGGGGCAGAAGGAGTGTTGCTAGAGAACACGAAGTGTGAAGACAGAGGTAGAGGATGGATCCAGACCCAGCAGCAGTAGCATGCAGGATTTGGCCATGAACTTGGCTCCACTGAGTCCACCAATTTAGAGACTGGCTGAGTCGATCCCTATGTCCTCATAAGATTGAAACTATCAAACTAATACATTTATTAGTGTTAACTCTAGATACACATTAGCCAAGATTTCTGCCCAATAATAGGCTACAATTAAATACATCAGGAAGTTGTATCAAGACCACATTATTAGTTACTAGCTATTGAGGGCCTACTCTGTGTCAGGTTCTACACACATAGTGTCTCTAATTTTTATGGCAGTTCTTCAAGGTAGGTATTACTATCCCCACTTTACAGATGAGCAAATGGAGGCTCAGACAGGCTAATGGATTGCCCTAGGTCACACAGCCAATTAGCAGAGGTGCTGGATCCAAACGTAAACCAAACTCCAAAGATCTCACCTTTTTCTCTGTGTTACATCAGGTCGCCTCTTTCACTATACACCCCTTATTAATAATACTTTGACATGACAATGTGTTAAAAACACGGTGGCGTAAAATCTTGTCCAAGATGCATATTTGGTTGGGGAGACGGTAGTAGTGTTGCTTGGTGCTGGGGATTCGTGTTTACTAAAGCCCTGTTTTTTCAAACGTGTGTTGGATCCAATCTATCATTAGAGATGCTAGAAAACATCAAAAGGAAACAAACGAAAAAAAAAGAAGCAGGGATCAGATGGCGCAGATGTAGCCAAAATGCTATAGACAAGGCAATCTCAAGAAACTCTGGATGCTGTTAATGAAGAAATGAACAGCTGTCCGGACTAAGAATTGGCAAGACTCCTCGGATGAATATACACAGGTAAGAAGAAAAAGAGCCACCTCATGATCACAAATAAGGACCAATAACTAGTCTACCCCAAGCAAGTGTGCTGTCTAAATGCAGCCCTGGACTCAAGCTTAGGGCTCTGGAATGCTCTCGCTTCAGGACCAGGATCTTCGATTAGAAGGTTGGACGGTTACCAAGGCAACTCCCAGATCATCTTCTAACCTTGGGCCTGCTCCAAGCCCCAGACTCTTAGTCCAGTTTAGTCATACATTATGGACAGATCCCTAGATTGTACTTGGCCCCTCTGAATATTGACTATATTCTGACATTTGGTCCAGGGCAGTGTCAAAAGTCTTAAATGGCCTTATCCTACACCTAGAAGAGTAAACTTCCCATTCACTCATCCTTCTTTTTTTTTTTTTTTTTCTTTGTTAACTATAGCCTTTACTGTGCAGAAGCTTTTTTTTTTTTTTTTTTTTAATTTATCCATCATGTATTTGTGGAGAGCCTGATGTCCCGGGCCCTCTTCTTGTTGCTAGGGATGCAATGATGGTTGAAACAGACAATCCCTGCCTTTGTGGAATTTAGAGGCTAAGAGGAGAAATAGAAGTTAATTAAATAACCTCCTGACCCAAATGTAAATTCATGATGATAATATGCTATTAAACATTTGCAAAAGACCAAGAATTGTGCTAAAATGGATTGCCAAAATGGCACTTAAGCCTCTCCGCTGTCCTGGGGAAACTAAGGTTCAGAGAGGTGATTCAGCTTTGCCAGCTGGGATTCCAATCCAGTGTCACCTGATGCAAAAAGTCCACACATTTGACTACTTTCTTATATCTCCCTTGGCAAACGATAGATCTGATTTCTTTCCAGTTTCTGTGAGGTCTAGATTTGGGCTTGTGGAAGTTCTACTTTTTCATGTAGCCTTCGACAAAAAATATTTCAGCACCTAAAATGTGTAAATCTTTGGGGTTGGGCAACTTAATACAGACAAATTTTAACGCTGAGAAGCAACAACAATTTGCTACGCGAAGGATACCTGAAAACCAGATTACTACCTACGCCAAAGTTAAAACCGTATTCCGCACAGACATTTTCGAATGTTTTGGATTATTAATACAGCAATGGCGCTCTCTGATGACTGCTGGTGTGTATTACATGTCTCTTGAATGGGGAAGAATACATTTTGGATGTCATGGAGGCCTCCTATTCCACAGTTTGGATAAACAATAAGCCTCCCTTTGGCTTGATCATCTTCACTCCTCATCCCCTTCCCCTTTTATCCCTCACCATTTACTTCGATTCCAGAGGGAAGGTCATGGATACAGAATGCAGCCCTCTTGTCAACATTCAGAGACCCAGCAACCAGGACACAGGTCCCCATGACAGACAGTGAAATTGTCACAGTGTGAACCATGTGCAGACAATCTCCAGGATCACTTACCCATTTAAGTCATGACAGATTCATCCATCATCTCCTGCTAGAATGCTCCTTCTTTTCTGAAGAGTATGGCTACACATAATCCTACCCACGCACTCTGTGACGCTATCCCACAGCTTTAGGAAACAGACAGGAATTTATACATTCTCTTTGAGCTAAGAACTATTGTGCCAAGAGCTGGAGACACAGTGATGAACAAGTCATGGTCCCCGTTCTAAATCTTACACTCTATCAGGGGACACAGGTGGCCAATTTGTCTGTAACTCATTCACTTCCAATTATAATAATTGCTACAAAAAATCAGGCTTTGAGTGTCTGCGCATGCAAGAAAGACCTCATTGGATCTAGGGGTCAGAAGAATTTTCCCCGAGGAAGGAGAGTAAGGTGTGGGGTGCCAAAAATGGAGAAGGGACTAGTCAGAGTGATCAGGGGCTTGTAGAAGAAAGAACCTGGAGCTGAGGCAGCCTGAACTGGGCTTCTCCAGGGGCTGAAGGTGAGTGATCAATGTGGAGTCAACCAGTAGAAACAGACATTAGGTAATCTCAAAGATGGTGAGCTATCAAGAAGGAATGTTTGTCATTAACTGACCCATTGTGAATGAGCTGGTGTTAGAGGATGAGTATAATCCAACACCTGAATGTTTCTTTTGAGGGTTAAACTCTCTTGGCCAGGTGTGCAGTGGCTCACACCTGTAATTCCAGCACTTTGGGAGGCCGAGTCGGGTAGATCACTTGAGGTTAGGAATTCGAGACCAGCCTGGCCAACATGGGAAACCCCTACCTCTACTAAAAATACTAAAATTAGCCAAGTGTGGTGGCATGAGCCTGTAATCCCAGTTACTCGGGAGGCTGAGGCAGAAGAATCGCTTGAACCCAGGAAGCAGAGGCTGCAGTGAGCCAAGATCGCACCAATGCACTCCAGCCTGGGCGATACAGTGAGACTCTGTCTCAAAAAAAAAAAAAAAAAAAAAAAAAAAAAAAAAAATTTAAACTGTCTTGAGTACTAAATATTGGTGTGGAGAACATCCTGGATCTTTGCCAATTCTGCATCTTCCCAGGAGCCAAGGATATTGCAGAATTTGATATTTACATCCCCTCTACTACTTGTGTAGGATGAGGAAATAACAATAGCAGACATAATTGCTGAGGTTGGGTGGGGGGAGTTGAGCTAACAATAGGCAAAAGATGAAGGGAAGAGAGGATAATGGTGGCAGCTATGGGATTCCAATGGTGAATTGTGGCTACTTAAAAAAACTCAGGATATAAAGCCTTACCTATTGTGGGATACCAACTAGCTCTCAGGATACCTCAGGCTAAACAAGCGAGATTTAGATCCTCAAAACCTGGGTTCAAATCCTACTCTTCTACCTCTAGGCATGTGATTAGGTTAACAAACTTTCTCTGCCTCCATTTCTATGTCTGTAAATAGCAATAATGGTAGTATGTGCCTGCTTTTTAGATTATTGTGAAGCAGTGCGTGCAAAGTGCATAGCATCACTCCTGGTACTTTTTAATTATTCAATATTGGCTTATTATTATTGACAATATTTAATATTTGGGAGGAAATCCACACACATGTAAGAGAGACTTAACGAAAACTTTTATTTTCTTCTTCACACTTTTCCGTTATTTTCCAATTTTCTAAAATGAGTATGCATTGCTATTAACACCAAAAGGAGGGAAACCCACAAATTTCTGAACAATAGAAGTTTGACTGTTTCAACTTTTCCGGAATTTCCCGGAACATGTTGTTCAAGGAGGACATGGGGGTGCATGCTAAAAGCACGGGTTGCTAGGTCTCGATCTGTAAATACTGGGTCAAAATCTTTAAGAAATAATTCTGGTAATCTATACTTTTAATCAGCTCCACAGATGACTGTTACAATCAGGCACTCCTGGGACGTGTTGATTGAATGGGAAGTCAGCAGAGAGTGGGCGGGGAAGGCCAGGCGGGTTGCAGCGATCACGAGGAGTGCGCCTACAATTCCCATATTGCCCCGCGAAATAGCGACGAGCAAGCCAGAGCCCTGCCGGGAGTTGTAGTTTCCCTCGCTAGGCCGCTGCCTATAAAGAACGCCGGAGATGGCTACAGAAAACTTCCCGCCCCACAATGCAAAGGCCAACGGCGACGCCATCTAGGGCGCGCCTGGAATCGAGCAGGCAGTTTCTGCCGCGTCTGCCACAACCTCTGCTGTCTCAGAGCTGGCCTTCGCCGCCGCCGCCCCCACCACCGCCCCCGCCGCCATCGCCGCCGCCACCGCCGCCACCACCACCGTCACCTCCGCCGCTGCCGCCTTGGGGCCCTCCTCTTTCACCGCCCCCTTCGCCACCTCTACACGTTCAAGGCCTTCTGTCTTGGAAAAGAAGCTATTATCGGTCTCCCTTGTGGGCCCGGGGCACAGCCATGGCGGACGGCGGCGGCGGCGGGGGAACGGGCGCGGTGGGCGGTGGCGGAGCGGGCCAGGCCTCTGCTGGGGCAGCGACTGGCGCTACTGGGGCCAGCGGGGGCGGTGGCCCCATCAACCCGGCCTCGCTGCCACCCGGCGACCCGCAGCTCATCGCTCTCATCGTGGAGCAGCTCAAGAGCCGGGGCCTTTTTGACAGCTTCCGCCGGGACTGCCTGGCCGACGTGGACACCAAGGTAGCTGCGGCCGCCTGGGCATAGGGGAGCGGGGCTGCACGTGAGGCCGCTGGGTTGCAGCTTTGATTTTCGAAAGCCGAGAGCGAAACAAAAGATAGCTTAAAAATCTCAGCAGTGAGGTCTTACACCGCTTGGGGCAGTACGGAGAGCTTTCTGAGCGATGCACACGTGGGTTCCCGCCTGGTCATTTACTAGCTGTGATTTTACCCAGTCGCTTCTCCGAACTTGGGGTTTCGATGTGGATTTTAGAGCCTAGACCCTGTCATTCCCAAGATGGAACTCCTTTAAGGCCCTTAGTAACAAACTTCGAAACCAAGTAGTTAAGCAAGCGTGCTTTAGAATTTCCACCTGTTCCGTACTCACCACTGAGAAGCTGGCATTAAACAATGATTTGAACACACAGTCTTCACCATTTTGTAACTGTTTATTCCTTTGCTCCAGCTCAGTGTTTTGCAGACTTTAGTACGGCGTTGAATTAAGATAAATTGTAGAAACAGCACCCTTATTTTGCGCTTCATCATTGATTAAAGGAGATTTGGTGCCTAGTTTAGATCTTAATGCCATAGGTCAGTCCCACCGATAAAACAGTTTCACTTTACCTACTTGTCAGAGTGGTTTGGATTCAGTGAAATAATGGGTGTTAAGTATCAGACATACAGTAGTTGCTGGAATGTTCATTTTCTCCCTTTTCAGAACTTGCCTAACCACGACTATGGTTGTAGGTTAGGAGACTCTTGTCACTGGAATCCTACAGGGTAGTAATTTCTCCTACCAAAGCCTGTCATGGAAACATTTTGCTTACCTCACAGCAAGATTGTGAGCTTAGAATGAGACCTTAAGATAGGGAAAAACCCTAGTCTGTTTATTCATTGAACGTTTATTGGCCTCTAGTTGCCAAACTGTGTGATTACAGGAATAAGTCACTACCCCATCCTCAAAGCTTATAGTCTAGGATAGAAAACTGACCTGTAAACCAGGTGGTAAATAGGTATGTGGAGAGAGAAAGTGGCATACACTGTTACTTCTCCAAGATGAAAATCCCAGCTAGAAGTACTGTCCTTGAAACAAAGTAATTTCATACATATACATCCCAGGTATGTATTGACAGAGCTTTCACCTTTCCTAGGACAAAGTCTCCATTCATATTTCTTATATTCCGTTAGGTTTTGTGTGTGATTTTAAAACAAAAACGACTACAGTAGCCCGCCCCATGCAAGGTTTTGCTTTCTGCGGTTTCATTTCCCCAGTTGTTGCGGTGTGGAAGTACTTGTGTTCAGGTAACCCTTATTTTACTTCACAATGGCCCTCAAAGAAATTCATGCGTAGTGTATATAGGGTTCAGTACTACCTGAGGTTTCAGGCACCCACTGGGGGTCTTAGAACGGATCCCCTGAAGGGAAAGGGACTACTGTCTTGAGCGGCTGTTGAGGGAGAGTGGGTGGAACCTTCCCATGTACAGCTCCTTAGCTGTTCCTTCTATTACAGGTTGTTTTAATTCTTGAAGATAATGTTTTTTCAGGCATATGTTATCTGAGACCTTCGTTGCTTTAGCCCAATGGTTCTCAAAGTGTGGTGCTTGGATTAACACCAGCATCACCTGAGAACTTGTTAGAACTGCACATACTGGGCCCCACCCCAGACTGCTGAAGTAATTAGGGGAAATTGAACAGATGTCTGTAATTTGCAGTGCATCCAAAAACAAATAGAACTGATAAGTGAACAGGTGGAGTGGTTGGTAGTACAGTAAAACGTTGAGTGGGCTCGTGAGTTCCTTTGACTTCTTGAACTGAGATGATTCTGTATCGCCTGGGTTTGTTACATGTTTTGGTGGTGATGTTCACTGTGCTTTGTCCTTTTTCAGTAAACAGTTTGTATCATCTCAAACCAGGTGAGTTCTTTTGAGTAGAAGGTGTGGTATCAGGATTTATACTTACAAGGGACAAAAATAATCCTAACTGCTTTATGCAAAGGGGAGAATCTATTGCCTCATGGAATCCAAGGAAGGATTGAACGAACAAACTCTCCCAGAGGGTAGGCATGCATTTGGAACCAGACATTCCCCACTCGTTCTATGTCTTTCATCTCTGTTGATTCCTGTTTTACTGTTGCTTCAGAGTGGAGTCATCCATTTGGTTACTAGCATCTCTTGATTACATTTTACAGCTTCTTCCTCTCGAGAGACTGTCAGCTCCAATTTGGGAAATCCCAGGGAATGTCTGCATCGTCTTAGCATGGCGCAGGCACCCACTCCTGTGGCACCCTCTGCCCTACCCTCGTGAAAAGAGGAAGACAGTTACTAGAAAGAAGGCGTTGCTAGGCAGATAGCACATGGTATCGGTGAATTTTACTCCTCTGCCCCCATTTCCTTGCCTTTCTCTTTTCCAGGTTTAGTGGACTCTTTGAGTTTGCTTTCTCAGCCTTTCGGAAGAGGCCAGTTGTGGAATTGAGGCCTGCTGGTTCCTTCGTCAACTTCATTTCCCTGTTAGCAAACTTTGCCACAGTAATGCTGCATAACAAACTGAATCTCAGCAGCTTATAACCAGCACAGTTCACATGTTCACGGGGCAGCTAGGAAGGCTTCAGCTGGTGGCTTGGCTGCAGGCTGCCCAGGTGTGGGTCCAGGCTGTGGGTTGATGTCAGGCCTGCTGCATGTAGAGTTACTTAAAAGTAAATGGAATAATGTAAGTAAAGCACCTGGCATTGTGCCCACCCACCATCAAGTGGGCACTTGTGTTAACCATTAATTCCTGACTGCCACACTGCATGGTGATCTTCATGCACAATGGAAGTGTGTTTAGGCTTGATAACATTTCTATGAAAAGCAATGTTCTGAGAGACTAAGTTCAAAACTTTGGTGCATGTAACTTCTGACCTTGCCTCCTCTTTTTAACATTTTAGCCAGCTTACCAAAACCTGAGGCAGAAAGTGGATAATTTTGTGTCAACACATCTGGACAAGCAGGAATGGAATCCTACAATGAACAAAAACCAATTGCGAAATGGTCTGAGGCAGAGTGTGGTTCAGTAAGTAAGCAGAATTTAAAGCTTTTGAAAAGGCAGTAATCACAAGTGTGATACACAAGAAGGTTGAGGTCTCTGTTTAGTCAAGGTTGATGGGACTTTATATCAAGTATCACTTAGGAGTTGCAGCAGTCTGCTCCTTTATTACAGTTAAGGTTAAAGTAAGCAAAGTACTCAATTGAAATTCCAGTTTCTGCAGCCTGTGAAGGCCTCTTGTGTGCATCTCTGCTGGGTGCATCGAAAGACATTCCAAATTATGAGACATGTTCCCTGCTCTTTGAAGTGTCAGTGTCGTCCAAACATATGTGAGTTTTATACCAGGATATCAGGGTTTGGATCTTGGGCAAGAAGAGCTGGATCTTTATTCTCACAGGTGAATGTAAGTTAAATTCTTTGAGTCCACCAGGGCTGCCACCTCTAAAGTGTAATGGTGGCAGCTTTCAGGAAGGCATAGTCTTAGCAAAGTATTGTACTTCACAGTGACAAACTGAGCCTTAGTTAATGAAGGTGCTGTTGATAGCTTATCTGAGTGACTTTTCACTGTCACTGGGCACAAAAGTGGAGGAGGGTCATGGAATCTGGTCATAACATTCATGAGCTAACAGTTACAGAAATGAGAGAACACATTAGTGATTGCCTGGGGTTAGGGATGGGAGGAGGGGCGAGTGTGACTTGAAAGTGGTTGCACGAGGGGAACTTGCGATGGTGCAGTTAAGTATCTGTGTTGTGCTGTGCTTATGTGCAGCAACTCGTAAAGTTGCATGGAGCTACACACACAAGTCAGTGCAAGTGTAACTGAAGTCTAAATAAGGTCTGGATTGGACCAGTGTCATTTTCCTAGTTTTGATATTGCACTGTAGTTACGCAAGGTGCTAACATTAGAGCTGGCTGAGTGAAGGGTGCATGTGGAACTCCCTGGACACTTCACAACTTCTGTGAATCTGCAGTGATTTTTAGATTTTTAAAGTTTTTAAAAGTGTTTTACTAACAGGCTAGTACTTCCAATATGGCTGAATGCTGGGAAGAAGCCTGATAGCAGAAGATGCCTGGTGCCTTGTCATTCTGGGGTCAGTACCGAGTGCCTTTCCCTTTCTGCAGAGAGCAGACTGGTGGCACCGGGCTCTTTCAGAAAGAAGGGGACAGTAGCTGCCCCTTACTGAGCAACTCTTCATTACATGTCTGGCACTGGTCTTTACATATATCACTCATCCTCACGAAAAACCTATTTCACAGCTGAAGTCACTTGTGTTTACCCTATCTTGAGTAAATCAAAACATTGAACATTTTGAAATACTTGGAAAGTTGCCGTAATTGTATGAAGGCTGTTAACATTGCTGTTGATTTCCATAATGAGCATGGATGTCATTCTAGAAGAATGCATGTGGCACTTCTTTTTGCATATCTTTAGTAGGAATTGTAATACCAAAAAGTGCACAGAAATACAGTAAAACAGATAATGAGAACATCCCTTAATCACCCAGGTCAAGAAATGAACTCACACCTCCCAAAATAGCCTAGGCCCAGACATACCTTCCTCCTTTCAGAAGTTTGCTGTATTCCTGACTTTACGCCAATCATTTCTTCTCTTCATAGCTTTTACCACCTCGGTGAAATTTTTTTTTTTTTCCTGCTTTTTTATTTGACTTAGAATGTGTTTAACCTGAAAACATGAACTTGGCTTTAATACTGGGACATTTCTCCACAATTCTTGCTAGCATTTTGAATTTGAGGCAAAATCTACTGGAGTTTTGAAATGCAGACTTTCTGCTTGCCCCCGGGTGCTCTCCCCAGATGGACATTGCAGGCCTTCAGAGCATTGGCTCACTGGCCTAGCTGTTCTGGCCCAGATGCTGTAACCCAGTGCCACAGCCTAGAGGGTTTAACAGGAAATTAGCCTGTACTATTGAACTGAATTATGACAAATAACTCTTTTAACTATACAATATTTGTTCATTCCATCTTCTACGTTAGGCTCCTGACAAGATTTTATGTTTTCCTCAAAAGCTTTAAGAATCTCCAGGAAAGTGAGCTGCACTCCCTTGGTACTTGGTTTCCCCTGATCAGGGGTTTTGGTCAGTTGGGGACGCTTTAACAAAGCGCCGTAGACTAGGTGGCTTGTAAACCATGGAAATGTACTTCTCACCATTCTGGAGTCTACAAGTCCAAGACCAAGATGGCAGCATGGTCAGGTTCAGGGGAAGGCCTTCTTCCAGCCAGCAGACTGCCTACTACTTCTTGTTCTTGTGTGGTGTGAAGAGAGCTAGCTAACTTCCTGGGGTCCCTTTTGTAAGGGCATAAATTGCATTCATGGAGGCTCTGTCCTCATGACCCAATCCCCTCCCAAAGGCCCTACCTCCAAATGCCATCACATTAAGGATTAGATTTCAACATAGGAAGTTTGGGGGACATAGGCATTTAGTTCATAATATCAAGCTTTTACATCTAGTAAAGACCCCTGTGAATCCGACTCAGGAAGTGGTTTGGTAAAGTTGGAAAGGTATTGGCTTGTGACTGAGGAGAGGTGGCTTTGCTTTATAACTGACCCATAGCCTGATGCTAAGTTTGCTGTATTTAACAATGCTCATCACTAAGGGCAGATACTGTCGAATGCCTGGTCTACCTGAAAATGTGCCCTTCAGTGCTCTGGTGGTGGTGTATTTACATCTAGGCTTCCTGTCGATAAGCTGTTAGTTACCATTGAATCTGGGAAGCACTTTACTTCCCAGTAAAGTGGGAAGTACTAATCATCTTTCCCAGTTCAGGGCCTGTTTCTCGTCTTTGTCATGATGTACATTTACTCATGTCTTTCCTTTGCTGTGCCCTGACAGACTATTTACCCAGTTACTGCCTGGCCTATTTTTGCCCAAGGGCTTAAATGGCCTCCAAAGTCTCAAGTCTACGGGAAAATAAGTAAAACCTGCCCACATGCTTGTGATGGTATTGGAATATTTCAATCCTTTGAGAAGAACACTTCACTTTGAACCTTATGGGCTGTTTTCCAGACTGTCCAAATGTGATTTGTTTGCTCTCACCATCATTTCCAGTACCCTGTCCCAAGTGTTTGAATATAGACATTGATATGCTCTGACTTTTGCTCTACTTCAGAAAGGATTGGGGATGTAATTTAGCTCTCCAGAGCTGGGAACTAATTTGTTTCTTGTCTATTTCTTGTTTGCCTACGAGTTGCTTATTATGTGTTACAGGTAGCAGCCGCTGCTGAAGGCCATGGTGAGTTGCTGGTGATGTAAATACTCCCAGCCCTGACTGATCTGCCTTGTTTAAGATGTGAGGATTAGTAAACAGGTTGCTGCTGGAGCTTCTGCTTAGGCTATCAAGAGAATAAATGTTGAAGGAAATGGAGTGAAATTCAAAGCTCACTGGCTTTGACAGTACGAGGAAGGTTTTCAGTGCCACACGTGTCAGATTCTTTCTTGCCATGCTGTCATTTGTTGTTTGGGGGCAGCCCACTTAGTTTTGTTTTGCTCCTTTGTACAAGTTTGGGTGATTGTGGATAAGATTGTGCAGTAGGAATAACAGCTGCTGGTTGAGAATTGCCCCTCGAAAGTGAAAATAGCTTGAGCTGTATGTGGTAAGTGGATTGACCTCTAAACTCCCTGGATGGGCTGTAGCTTTGAAGGTGGGCATTTATTGGGCTCCCACATGACACTTATTGGGGCTAAAGATGAATCCCGAAGGAACTAAATAACAGAATGATCTGTTTGTCTCCACAAGGTCAGGGATGTTGGAAGCTGGAGTAGACAGGATTATTTCTCAGGTGGTGGATCCAAAACTTAACCACATCTTCAGGCCACAAATAGAACGAGCAATTCATGAGTTCCTGGCGGCCCAGAAAAAAGCAGCTGTGCCAGCACCCCCTCCAGAGCCTGAAGGCCAGGACCCTCCAGCTCCATCTCAGGACACTTCCTAAGGTCCAGTATCCTATCTTCTGTCCAGGGGCATGCATCTCTGGCTTGTAGATATGTAAAATGGATAGGAATGGGGTAGGCCATAATTGAGGATCATTCAGAAAGTATTTGCTGCAGATGAACTTCACCTACTGTTATGAGTCATTTTTTACTGAGAACTAATCAGAAATTAGACTGATTTTCTGTTCCACCAGAGCTAAACATGTAAGCTATGAATAGATGCTTCATTAGAAATCAACTGGGATGATTGGTGTGCATAAGGGAGATTCAAATGAGAGTCTTATTTTGCTGAAATGTTTGAGTCTCTCCCCTGGACATGAGTTAACTTGGGCTTGCGATTTTATTTAAAATCAAGCAGTGCCTTCTGAAGTGGTATCCTAAATGGGATTCAGAGTCCGCTTTGAGTGCGACTCAATTTCCATGAATTTAGAAGGAGTTTGTTTACCACTATTGATTACCATGGGATTCTTCTGTTAGGAACACTCCCCCTTTTAAAATTAAATTTGGAATTAAATGTAATTTTTAAAAAGCTCTAGATGTACAAAAGAATGCTTTTTGCAGGTTTTGGGAGACATTAGTATGAGCAGTGATGAAGTTAACAGTGGACTCTTAGCCATTGTTGGTGACCGTTGGGGTATATTTTATCCCTTCATTCTGATGTTGGTGTTCGGTTTTTAAGATTCTCTGGGATGCCTATTCTTAATCAGTAAGTGAGGTGAATTGACTAGGGCATTTTGAGCGTCAGTGATGAACAACGCAAGAGCGTCGGGATTGTCTTTTTGCGCCTCTATCGAGAGAAGCCCTTGAGTCCTATATGGAGTGTAAAACATTCATTTTAAGTCTTTGTAATTGTAAATTTCTTTAGGAACATAAAAGTGAATATAGTCTCTTATCAATAAATAACATTTGGATATGATTATCTTTCCTTTTTAGAATATACCTGACACCTTTTGAAAGCTAATTTCTGGTGAAGAAGTGGATTGGGTTACATAAGAGTGCAACTTCAGACCGAAGATAGGCCAAGGTCGTCACTGATCTCAACATTTCAACCCTGACTACGGGCAGTGACCAGATTGA